CTCCAGCAGAAGATCAAGACCTACAAGCGCCAGATCGAGGAGGCCGAGGAGATCGCCGCCCTCAACCTGGCCAAGTATCGCAAGGCTCAGCAGGAGTTGGAAGCTGGCGAAGGCCGAGCTTAATCTATTTAACTTGTGTGTCAAAGTGTGGTCCTCAGCTTCAAGTTGCCGCTAACAATGTGTTGACAAAACTGATTCCTGCTTCAATTAGAAAACACCATCAGTCATAAAACGTTTTTCTAATCTCCTTCACAACAAACTCGCAAGTATAGCCATGCTATGAATCTATCCCTGCATTATGTTATTTGTTTTGATATCTTTATTTTTAAGCCGCTCTTGAAAATGAACGGATACGGTTTTATCACCAGTGCATGAGTGTGTGAATCAGTATATATGTATATAAATGTGTGTGTGTGTGTGTGTGTGTGTGTGTGTAGATACATATACACACACACTTATATATATGTATATATATATGTATATATATATATATATATATATATATATATATATATATATATATATATACACACACACATCTATATGTATAAGTATATATGATATATATATATATATATATATATATATATATATATATATATATATATATATATATATATACACGCACACATATATATGTATAAGTATATATGATATATATATATATATATATATATATATATATATATATATATATATATATATATATATATACACGCACACATATATATGTATAAGTATATATGATATATATATATATATATATATATATATATATATATATATATATATATATATATATATACACACATTACAAATACATGTATATATATATGTATATAATATATATATATATATATATATATATATATATATATATATATATATATATATGTACATATATATATATATATATATATATATATATATATATATATATATATATATATATATATATATGTGTGTGTGTGTGTATATATGTATTGCGTGTGTGTAGTGTGTATGTTTGTGTTGTATGTATGTATGTGTGTGTGTGTGAGTGTGTGTTTGTGTGTGGGTGTGTATACTGTATATATATATATATATGTGTGTGTGTGTGTGTGTGTGTGTGTGTGTGTGTGTGTGTGTGTGTGTGTGTGCATATATGTATACATATATACATACATATATATGTGTGTGTACATATATATTACATATACATATAATTATACATATTTATGTGTGTATATACATGCATACAAAAATATGTATAAATAGTATGAATATATTCTCTCTCTCTCTCTCTCTCTTTATATATATATATATATATATATATATATATATATATATATATATATATATATATATACATATTTATGTGTATATATACATATACATATATATATATATATATATATATATATATATATATATATATATATATATATATATATATATATACATATTTATATATGCATGTGTGTATAAATATAGATAAAGGATAAATGTAAGTCTATACATATATGAATACATATATGAATATATATATATATATATATATATATATATATATATATATATATATATATATATACATATATAGGATTACATATATGAATATATATAAATATGTATAAAAATATGTATAATATAAATCTATTAATCTATATGTATCTATAAATATATATATACATTAATATATATATATATATATATATATATATATATATATATATATATATATAAATCTACATATAATATATGTATATATGTATAATATATGTGTATCTATAAGTATATATATATGCATATATATTTATATTTATACACACATACACACAAATATATATGTATATATATTGTATATATATAGTATATGTATATAGTATATATATGTGTACACACACACACACACACACACACACACACACATATATATATATATATATATATATATATATATATATATATATATATATATGTATGTATACATATATTACAACCCTCCCTGACCAGGACTCGAACCTAAGTCTCGGTATGAACCGGAGAAGTACTAAATCAACCATTCCACACGACCCATGAAAATAAGTGAACAACTAGGATCCAAAGAGCTCCATAAACATTACCTATCTACCCATACATTAGTAATGATGGCAAGGTTTTACACACTCCCCATGGACAATGCGTGGAAATGGATTTAGAAACTCGAAACCGAAGTCAGATGTATTGAAGTGTATATAAAGGCCTGACCAGGGCTTGAACCTAGGTCACTCCAGGTATGATGCGGAGGATCAGTACTAAACCAACTATGCCAACGACCCACTAAAAGAAATTACTTAGATCCTGGTTGCACACACCTATTAGTAGGTCGGTTTTGTGTTCAGTTAATGTTCTAAAATACTAACATTGCATATTTTCTGTTTATTGAATCAGTGTTTGGATATGACGAGAGAGAGAGAGAGAGAAAAAACAAAAACATGTCAAGATAACTTTGATTTTGTGAGAAAACACAAGTATACCATTTTTCTCTACACCTACTCATATACTGTGCATTAACAACAGGAAATAAATAGTGAATAATTGACAAATAAGTGTATAGCGCGAGATGAACTGCCCATTTCATCAGAATGAACAAGTTTTTTTTTTTTTTTTTTTTTTTTTTTTTTTTTTTTTTTTTTTTTTAAGATAAACATATATCATATAGCACATGTACTGGGAGTAAATTCTTAGATTTAACTTCGACCCTCTTTGGAACCAGCCAGCTAGTAGCTCTTCGAGTTGATACAAGCAAACGTGTATTTTCTCACTCGGCTGTTCGAATGTGGATGCAACACCACGACTCATGGAACAATGATACCGAAACTATGACCAGGGTATTCAGATTAACCGAAACGAATTATACATAATGTTTCGTTACTCATCATCAAGTATTCACAAACACACACGCACGCATGCAAACACATACACACAATGATTAAACATTATATATTCATTGTAGCAAATCTGCGGTGTTGCGTTCAGACAATGTTCTATTATATAAAAAAAAAAAAAAAAAAAAAAAAAAAAAAAAAAAAAAACGATACATCATGTTTTCTGTTTATTTAATCAGTGTTTGGTGGTGAGAAGAAGAAGAAAAAAAAACAGTCACTTCATTAGTTCGATTAGTCGCAGCCCACGAGAAGCATTTACAGAGGTATCAGCGATTTTGTATTTTTTTTATTATATTTGGCTGCCATACATAGATGTTTAAAGAATGAAGCATTTACATGTTTCTAGAAATATGCAGCTGCAATTGAAAAGTGTTGTGCCGAAAGAAGGGGGAAATGCCGGCTCTCCTCTATAGGTGTCGCCATAACGATAAACAAACAATTCCAGGAAATCGCATTTAAATATCTCACTACAAAGTCAATGATATCTCACACTATACATTTTGTTACCACTTATTTAAAGAAAATGAAAGATCAAAGGGCTTACGTAGTTTCCAAAATTAGATACTAATACACTTATTGATCATTTGTATTCTACCAATCACACTCTTTTTTACAAACAATATAGGGATTTCGCCTCATTCATAAAAACACTATTTACGCTATGTTTGTATTGAAGTGGTGTCAAATGTACAATGTAGTGGGACCCTGCAAGTGTACTGAAATTTAAGTTTCCGTTTTTGATACGCTTATCACCAAATAAAACGGTCGCCTGTAAACTACTGTTTACAGAATTTTTTTTTTTTGCTGGTCTTAGGAATGCATTATTTGAGCTATTCATTACAAGATTAATAGCATATCCACCTTACTTAACAGAGGATTTAACATTTGCTCCCTTTTTGATGTGCAAGTTTTGATTAAACTGCTTCGAAACAAATGAATACCTAGTCAGTATGTTTCAGAAAATTCCGAGATTTTTCTGAAATATTCCTTCCGCCAAGTTTGAATTAATTTAGTTCTTACGATAAAACACGATATTCATTTGCTTTAGATTTATGTTCAAACATTGTAAATATGTTTAGTTGTCCGAGCTGTAATACTAGGTTTATTGGATCAACGACACATTGATCCAAGGTCAGAATCCTTCATCATATAGGGAAGACCATAAGAAGAGGCCTACCTCGGAACAAACCGGCGTTCTCTGCTATTCGCCAACATTCACACATGGAAAAACACCCCGACACACGCAACAATTTCGAAGTTCTGTCTACATCTTCCAACGGACTCGACCCCCTAATATTTGACTTTTTGTTTGTTCACAAGACGAAACCAGAGCTTAACCCATTCGCCACGGATTTATGTTCTGTCCCCTGTAGTTTTTAGTGAATTATGTTACATACAGATGGCTCCACATGTACTCAGCCGGCAAGGAGTCTATCAGTAGGCCCTAGTTACCGACCCTGATTTTCCCATTCATTGCATTGGCGGGAAAATTAATACCATTGCTATCGATACTGTTATTATTGTTATTGATGTTATGATTACCAAATTGTCACTAGAATATTTTAGACAATGAAATGACACAAAAAAAACCTTTCCAAAGGTGAAGGAAAAGGGTTAACAGGTAAAATAGGTAGTTCTTGATAACTGGCTGTTTAGTGATTAAGAACTTGTGGAGCCATCTATGTGTAAATACAATAAATAAACGTGTCTCAAAGTGGGTATGGCATCTATTCTTGCCAAATATGGCGAATGGGTTAACAACTACAGTACTGCCACACAGCTGTTTATGGTGTATTTTTTTTTGTCATAGCTCAGTGGTAGAGCGCTGGCTTTGCAATCGCGAGGTCCCGGGTTCGCGCCCGGCCGCCGCCCCTCTCAGTCAACTCAGCTGTGAATGAGTACTGATATGCTGACGTCAGCATGTCGGGGTCAAAGTCGGGGCGGAAAGGAACTGGCCACCCTACCGCATCATCCCGCGGCCTAGTAAGCATGTTTCTCTGCGAACATGTCCCGTACGTCCATGGACATGGGACTTAAAAAAAAAAAAAAGAAAAAAAAATCTTCTGTACCTACTTCCCTTGTTTCTTCGTT